AATATCACAAACACACACACACACACACACACTCACACAAACAGACTGACACAGCATCTTCCAACAGACCTGATCTTTTTTAGCAGTAATATTTCCTCCACATGGCCGTCCCCCACCCCCTCGCTCCCTCCTCCACCACGTCATTAACACCTCACTGGGAATGACCGAATGTAATCACCCTCCTCTTTTATTGCAATGACACGGCTATCTACAATCCCATCTTATTAATTCTCCATTGGACTCAATGCATATAGCATCCATTTCTTGATTAATAAAAAAGAAATCAGCAGAAATGAAACAAAGCTTTGCTCCCTGTGCCGCCTACGATCGCTTTGACTGAATGCAGAACTTGCAGGGCAATTTAAGGCTACCCTGGTTTTCAAGTTTTTGTTTCTTTTTCTTTAATTTCTTTTTTTTAATTTCACCGGTCTGTCTGCTTTTCGGGGAGAGCACATTTATCAGATATTTGCCAATTGGACGCGGTGTTTTGAAAAATGATTTGCCGCTCACACAGGCTGAGGCCTAATGCTGAACATGTGGCGAGGCAGGATCTTGGCATATTATACTGCAGACAGTCGCTATGCCAGGAGAGCCCTTTCTGTGTTTACTGCCAAGGCAAAGATTTCACAAATGTACATACCGAGGCTAGCACACTGGCTTTGCCTTGACGTTAAAAAAACAATTGGAACAATAAACATATATATATTGGGATGTTTTCTTCAATTGATGTACAAGTAAAACCATTAGGAACCATCCAGACACAGTTGCACCAGTTTTTCATACAAGTTTGGCTGGAAAGTTTCTTATTTCCAGTCCAGCAGTTGAATAAAATGGGTCGCACCATTAAAACTTGTTACTATCCAATTAAGACCTGTTAGCCTTTTTCAACAGGAACTTCACAGATGTTTGTGATGTACCTTTTAAAGTTTGCAGTATGTTGTTTTTCTTGTAAACACTTCACACACGAGGTAGCTGGAAGGGGTTTTTGCAGTTAAACTATATATCAGATGATGCCACAGCAGCAACTGGAACAGACTGAAAAACTGAGCACATTCCACACCATTCTGTATAAACCCTAGAGATGCTTGGGTTGTAAAATCCCAGTAGATCAGCAGTTTTTGTGAATTCCTCAGCCTGCCTGGCACTAACAAGCATGTCACATTTGAAAACACTTGTATCACATTTCTACCTCATTGTGATGCTCAGTTTGAACCAGCAGGTAACCGTGACTATGCCTAAATACATTAAGTGCTGGTTAGATTTTCCATTAAGGCCAAATAGGGCCATAAGTGAATTATTTCTTAATAATTAAGTAAGCTTAATTTCCTCATATTAAATTCTGACCGGAGGCATCGCCCCCTGCTGGCCACTGGAAAGATGCACTTGGTTTCACTCTTTTGGTTGGTTCTGTTACACAACAGCAATGCCTGGGAGTGTTTAGCTGTGAATGTTTTATTCTATTTAGATTTTAAATGAAACCTAAATAAGAAGTAGTTTATTTGGTGCAACTCATTTTAAAGTGACTGCCTTCAATAAACTAACAACAACAAGTTTGAGTGAATGAAAAGCTGATGCAGCCCCCAGCTTGTTATCACTTACTGAATCAGCGAGTTTTGTGTAACCATATGCATCTCTAAACCGATATGGGGTTTACCTTGCTGTTTTTTGGGTCTCTATTATGCTGCCTTTTCTTTTATGTTCCTTTGGTTTGGTTTTCTTGTAGTGGACTGTCTGTGTGTTAGTAGTTGTAGTAGTAGTCGTAGTGTACTGGTCTTTCAGTTTGTGACACACAGTTTTAATGCCTGGCATAGTGTCTCGTGTTTATTTTATTTCTCTCCTTTTTTGGGAATGAGGATTGCTCTCTCACTCTCCTCCTCTCTCTCACTCTCTCTCCTTCTCTCTCTCTCTCTCTCTCCTCCCTCCATCCTTTGGTGCTCTGTTTCTCAACCCACCACATACAGTGAGATTTTTCAGGAGAATGGTCACCAAAACTGATTGCTTTTTTTGAATGATGCACCTTGGTATATATATATATATGTTTTATTTTAAAGAGTAATTGTTTTTAGTTTGTTTTTTTTCTGTGTGTGTGTTGCTCATGTAAAAATTTCTCCCTTGTTCTCGTTTTTCTTCACTCCATCTTTTCGTTCTCCTGTTTATTTCGTACATGGACTGGCTCTGTCTCTTTACTTCTCACTTTTGCATCCCGTACTCTTAACCTCCATCCTTGTCTCGTACGTGTTTGGTGTGGGAGTGCTGCGATTGTTTTGATTGGTCTCTATGCTGCATCCGACGCTTGCTGATTGGCTGAAATTTTCCTTTTTTAAAAGGTTTTTTTCTTATTTTTTTTTAAAATTTTGTTCATTCTTTTCTTTTTTTTAGTTTGTTACTCACTCTTGGTCATGTGATGCGCCCGTATTTGGCTGCGTGTAATTTCTGTGTTATATGATTATTAATTTTGTCAAACAAATGTTTTTTACCCCACTCTTTCTCCCCCTCTCTTTTGAATTTTATTTTTAAAACTATTTTCTTTTTAGGTACGTAAACCCCACAAGTTTGGTTTCATATGGAAATGTGACTTTGTTTTTGTCTGGTTTTACTGTCCGGGTCCGACTGGGAGGGCAAAAGTGGGCTGAGAAAGGATGAATGTTTGATTAATCATTAACACTTAAGATTTGCCTTCCGTATTGGTCTCTGCTGATTTGCATGTGTTTCTGCCGATCGTTTACCCAGTTTCATTAATTGCGCATGACACAAACCACACAAACACACACACAAAATAGCTATATATTTAGATTTCTCATGCAATGTCATGCACATAATGGAAAAACGAAGATTTGTCTGCCCTATTGGATGTGATACAACCAATATTTGTATTCCCTGCCTGATTTGGCTGTGCTTCCTTTATGTTTCAGATGCAAGCACCTTGTGATTGCTTTGGTTGCTAAGAGATTGATGCATTTCTCGGCGGGTTTTCATGGTTGTCTGCAAATGCTGGCTAACCACCAGCTACGTGGTAGTTAAACTTGAAAAAGTGCTAATCGGAAATGGCAAAGTTTTTGCCTTCATGCACGTTTCAAAAGGTGTTCAAAACTTTTTGAACTGGGAAATGCTCATTTGTCTCCTGTGAGTTTGGCTGTGAGACGGTTGTGGATCTAACTCGAGGCCTTATTGGCCAGATCCTACACTGCCAACGTGATTGTCACACGTCCAAAATGGCAGACAAGTTAACGTCACATGGTTAGAGGTCACATTTCTTGCAAAGCCTCAGTAAACAAATAGATTATTAGAGTAGCTTAAATGTTCCGTTGCTACAGGGTAAAGGCCTTTGCACACAGCATATCCATCCAAATATATTGTGCTAGATATCTTTTAGACTCGTCTATTCATAATTGAAACGTTCACACCGACCGCGTGATTTCACTGGATGAATTTGAAGCATTTTTCTAACAGTGACCAATCAGATCACTGTATTTGGCAAAAAGTGCACTGTAGGTCAAAAAGCACACTGATACTGAATATACATATAGTAAAAAGTTTTGTGTCGCTTTTTTTTGCAGTGCGCTCGCTATATAATGGCCTTAAGTATAGTGTTACCTTCAGGCTTAAAGCCTCTGGGAAATTTTCCCTCTTGTAACACAAACGTTTGCATAAATTTGATTCATTGACTAAACTGAGATTTCAGAATGTTTCCACTCAGACACCAGCACACAGTTGTGTGAGAGAGGTAGCCGGGCCTGGCTAATTGAATCATTTGCCACTGACCTTGTCATTTGCAATGAGGGAAAAATGAGGTAAACCTCATTTCCATTTGAATGAAGCTCTGCAGATAAAGAACATGACTCACTGAGAGGGGCGATGCGAAAGGCAGCCTTAATGGTCTTATAAATTGGAGTGAAGCGTGCATGCGCACACAAGCACTCTCATTCCTCAAGCTCTCTCGCTCTCTCTCTCTCACACACACAAGCAGAGGCTCTTCGCTGGGCAAAAGGTCATTAATCTTTAGCTTGCCACACAGTCAAATGTGCAACTTCAACAGCACACTTGGACAGTATGGGTTATTACAGGGAGCTACAATCTCCCTCTCTTAAAGCCCATCAAAGGAAGATGAGGATAGATCAAGGGACCGGAGTAGAAGCCTTTGAAGCTCAGAGAGGAGATTATCAGCCGTCTTGGATTGAAAGGCCGGAGCATTAGTCTGAAATGTCAGCGAGCATGCACAGAACACGCACGCCCCTTTAAAAAAAAAAAAAAGGAAGAAGAAGAAAAAGCCACAGTACTTGCCAAAAAATAAGTACAGCTCAGTTTCCTTTGCTGTATCCCCACCCCTGTTTATGCGCACATCAACAATACAACCAGTGTCACCAGTGGCACTCCTTGTATCTGTTCATAGCGAATCACTAAATCTCTACTGGGCAACCTGCTTTTTATTGCATGATGACTAAAAAGTCCCCTAACAATCTCCATCCAGTTATACACACAGACATACACGTGCTACATAAACAAGAGTCAGCAGCCTCGTCGCTGATGAAATGCAGCAGCACTCACTTTTATTTTCCAGCCTGTGATGTTGTGTTTCATTATTCTGCAGAGGCAGATTTCTCTATAATGTGCACAATATTTAACATGTGGTGCCAGCAGAAGAAAATATTGTTTGACCTTCAAGGGTGCATTTTGATGATAATTATTATAATAAAGAAATGTGGCAGACTAGGAAAGGCTGATTGGGGGAAGAAGATAAGCTACAATGTTGGCACAACTAAATTGCTTAACCATAATCCCAAATGACACCGCTATTTCCTTTTTAATAACAAAGTCAGCCACACGATGAGCAGAGACTATTATAATAACTCAACACAGCAGCAGGCTTTTTCAATCTACTGTACAAAACACCACGCATATCAGCCCTGGCCTTGAGATTTACATTTCAGACTATGTGCTACTTTTCCTCTGCTGAGCTGTCTGTGTCTGTGCCTCTGACTGTTGGCTCCTCCATCCCCCAGGTGAATAACGCCACCGCCAGAGTGATGACTAACAAGAAGATGGTCAGCCCTTATCCTAATGGAGAAGCTCTCAGCACACTACCCTATGGTAACACACGCTGTGATGTGCACAAACAATGAACCCAAGCCTGTCTAAAAATACAAACATCATAGGTACATGCGGAGAATAGTTTATAGCTTCGCAGTCCATTAAGTTCATTTCCAGCTCTGCGTTCTTATTCTTCTTATTCTTATTCTGGTTTTTAGTCCATTTGAATCGGACTCTGGCACAGTTTTCTTACTTGTTGCGGGGTCGTTTGAGCAGATGCGAACAAATTGGCACTCGGGTGTAGACCAAAACAACTGCACCGAGACGCATCAGAGGTGGTGGTCTGTATGGTTTGTTTACAGTGTGAAAGCGAGCTGAACCAGCAACCTGCAAGTTTGAGTGATAGCGAGGTATGCTTTGCATTCTGGGATGCAGCAGCTACCATCAATGCACAGAGTGTACAAACGGTCATTGCGAGCTAGCAACAAGCTGTAAAATGAATCCATATTCCCCACGTTTACTTTTGTTTCTCCTGCCTCAGACACACCTGATAATCTGACTGAACGTGGTTTGTAGTGATGCATTTTTTTGTAAAAGAAACCAAACTAAAGGGAAAAGCTACAAACTCATTAACTGATTCAGATCAAACTAAACAAACTGCAGGTGTGAAAACACTCGGAGCTCTGCGTCATTCACAGTTCACAAAAGAAACTTTAATAATCAAAATGTATTTTATAATCGGTCCTGGTGCAGTCGGTCAGTTCATCCAAAAAAACGAATAACACAAGAATTGCATTCTTTATGTTTTGATTGGTTGCCGTTGCAAACAGGAGGTTTGAATAGCAGCTTCTTCTCGTAGATTTACCAGCAACTTTATAGCAAGCAACTGATGACAGCAGTAAAAGGGAATATCAGAACATATCCACAGTACACCATATGTAATATACTGGATAAACCATTTTTGCTGTAAAAACAGATGGGGTACTGTTATCATACCGTAAGTGCTTCTACAAGGTCGCTGAGGGGTAGCACTATGCATGCGACAGGCATTAACACTTTAAAGACGGCTCCTGTTTATCATTTGCTCTTTCCCTTCTCTGTGTGACTATTAGCAGGGTGGAAGTTGAGTCCTGTGGTGGGAGCTATGTATGGACCAGAGATCTACGCAGGTAAGGCCCATCTCTGTCTCTTCAAGCCACACTAAAAATGGTCTGTCTGGCTGTAGAGTGACAGCCCCACTTTACATTTTAGTCACACTGTGATTGTTAATCTGTATTAATGCACTGCTCACCCAGCATTCTTCCTCACTGACAGTTTTATTCATACAGTCCTCTGTGTTATAGTTGGAATGTTCCTCTGCCTTTCTTTCAATTTATTCCGAGTGTCACTTTGTTTCATATACTGTCATCCCATTTCCTACCTGGGTTGTCATCTTTCCTCCTTTAATCCTCTCCTGTCCTCTTTATCTGCTTCCTCGCCTACAGTTCCAGGGTTTCCCTACCCTACAGCAGCAGCAGCAGCAGCCACAACAGCGGCAGCGGCATTTCGCGGTGCCCACCTCCGGGGCCGAGGCCGGCCCGTCTACAGTGCTGTGCGGGCCGCTGTGCCGCAGCCTGCCATCCCTGCCTATCCTGGGTGAGGATAACCTGCCTCTTTATAAACAAGAGCTGTTGCTGTTGAAGCTCATTCTGGATATAGAAAAAAAAATCAGGATCTGTTTTGTTTAGTGCTTCGGTAAATCCGCCGAGCATCACCTCATGAGTCATTTTCCAAATTCTGTTTGACCAGGTCTCTGCTTAACACAGCTGTGCTCATTCACTCCTCATGCTCAAATATTATTCACACTTCACTCTCTTCAGCAGTCCAACTGGCACATTGTCAGTCCGTTTACAAGCTATTCAGTGGAGTGTGACACACTGATGGGATTGCACCATTGAAGCCTCATTTGAATAAACACATAGATCCTACCGTCAGCAGATTTGCACAAACACACACGGACCACATGCAGACATTATACAGCAGCAGTCACCTTGCGCACAGATTTGCTTTAGATTATTCACGTTTACCATGATTTGTTTTTGCGTTTTTTGTTCCCTCGGTGTGTGTGCACTGTGCATGTTGTTGCTGCGCTGCGATGATTGGCTAATGGGGGTTGCGACTGCGATCGTATTCAGTTCAAAGCCAAATTGACCGGTGGCTTGTCTGTACATGACATTTAAATAAAGCGAAACGAGATGAAATTGTGCGTGGGGTGGGTGAGGGATGCAGGAAATACCTTCTCCATACGTGCTCCACTGAAAACTACACCTCCCAGACATCGTTCCTCATAAAACGATCTATTCAAAATGGCCTTTATTGGCCAGATTTTCTACTCGCTGGGGAGCAATAGCCGTTTATGGTCTCATTTCAGTTCAATAACCTTTATGTATTAGCCCCACGAGTATATTGTTTAATGTTTTTGAGATGCAGTTGTGGAGCTTAAATGGAACTTGTATTTCCTCTGCATGCTGCATGGGTGTGAAATAACTACTTTTCTCTCTCTCTCTCCCTCTTTCTTCCTTTTTCTCCCTCTCTCTACCTGATCCCTCTTTTTCTCTATTTTGCTGTGTTGTGACCTCCATCCACCCTGGGTTTCTGGGACCGTGCACCACTCTGTTCGCACTGCACCCTCCACTTCCTGCTCTTCTTCCGCTCTGTCCCCCTCTCTCTCTCTCTCCCCCTCCCATGTTCTCCTCCTCCTCTCAGCGTGGTGTATCAGGATGGGTTTTACGGAGCCGCAGACTTATATGTAAGTAAATTCACCTCCAACCGACACACCATCTCTGTCCCTCCCCTCACGGCTTTCTCCTGCTCTTTTTTTTTTCCTTCTTGGGGTGATTCTGCATGTGTGTCCGGTCATGCGCTGCACAGAGCTGCCTCCATAATGGTGAATGGTGAGAACTCTTTAGAAGCACGACATGCCACATACCTGCACAAGGTCCTTTGTCTTTTGTGCATGAGCGTTGTTTTTCGTCGACAAACGTGCTGGTTATCACACAACTGAGCACCAGCTGTGTTCATTTAAAAATGAAATAAAACTGAATAAATGACATCGTGTGATGGGATCCACAACACCACTACAAAGGCTGCTCTGTAGGCGGATGCGGCAGCGTGCGTCAGTGAATGAGTGTGTGCGTGCGTGTGTGCATCCAGGTTGACAACGGTTGTTTCTGTTCTCTCTATAGACTAGTGTTTCAGGACTCAGTCCTTAGTCCCAGATTGCCTCAGGTAGGGTCAACTCAACACCAAACCCTGAGTGTGCATTGTTTTACTGTACTACCTCCTCTGATCTTATGAATCATCTTCTGATCTGATCTGGAACATGTTGTCTTTTAGTTGTTTTAAAAATTACCGCTGCTTTGAATTTTGCTTTATTCTTTTACTAACTCACTGATTTTTCTTTTTTGTTCTTGCTTTTCCAGTTGTGGGAAAGAGCTTTGTTTTTGTTTTGTTTTTTAACTAAAAGTACTAAATTGTATGGAGTGCTTTTCTTCCTGCTCAAAAGAGAACCTGGTCTCTTTTGTCTGGTTGGCTAGTTTTGGTGGAAAATGACACCTGCTCTTATTTTGTTCTCGTGTTGGAAAAGATGGCAGTATGCATACAGTTGTAAAAGTTCTGGTCAAATGTTTGCATTCACTTGTCAGACACACTTATATCACTGCAGTTTGGGCTCCTTAATTATTTCTACAGCTGCTCTTTATTTGAGACGGCAGGAAATCGACTTTTTATGTCACTTGAAAAACAAGTGAGGGTTTTTTTTAATGTTCTTTTTTTTAGATCCCTCAGTAGATACAAGGACAACTCAGACTGGTCAAAAATAAGCTACAAAAGCTGACTGTATTTTTAGTAAGTATCAGTGGCCTACAGTCATGTAGAAAAGAGAAGTTTTCACTCGGTGCAGTCCTGTGAAGAAATCCGCCAACTTTAGCAATAACTGGATCGTTTTCTGTTTGCCCTTAGCTGTTTACTGAGATCAGGCTCTCACATCGTCGTGGAGGAATTTTGGCCTGTTTTTCTTCACAACGTTGCTTTTATTCGTCTAGATTTGCAGGCGTTTTGCTCATACTTCTCTTTTTTTCAGCCATTCTGCTGATTTGCTCCTTTTCCTGTGATGAGTGACTCTGTGACTCCACGGTGCAAAGAAACCCAATTCACAAAACGTGGTGCTGTGGATTATGGCCAAAAATCTATATGGAGACAAAGTTGCCTCAAAAGGTTATACAAACGTGCACAAATGAGTGATTTGTGTTTAACTGTTGAGGACTCACAAGCACGTTTCAATCCACACACAAATACAAAGCAATCTAACTGGGATGTAACACTATTTCACAAATGCATAGACCCAAACTTTGAATCAAATGATTGGCATGAGGGCCTGTGCAGACTCATCCATGGATAATTTACATCGCAACACACCAACTACACGTGCGCCCAGAAGCATAACAGGTATAACTTCTCGACCAGCGGCTTATAATCCAGGCTTTAATGGAAGCATAACACTGAACATTTCACAGCACTGCATAGAGTCCAGTAAACAACGCTGCTTTTCACATGACTGTACAGTACAGGTTAACCTCATGAGACTGACTCGTGCTATTTTGAAACCAGAGGTAAGGGATGAGGCGTGCACTGAGCATGCTCATATGGTAGCAATGTCCCTTTTTATTTATTGTTTATTTTAATCTACTGAGGCCTCTAATTTACTCAGTAAAAATCATGCTGAATCTAGTGATTCAGATCATAATTCAGCAGGAAGTGGTTTGCTGAGATTTCCCCCTCCACATCACCACTAAGCAGACATCTGGTTGTCCTGTGCTTCTGTTTTTTGACCTGTCATCACTCGTTTTTTTTAGAAAGTTTGACCTAAAATGCAAATAAGAGTGCAATGATTTGTAAATGATTTAAAAGGAAACAGAGAAATGTAGCTTGAAAAGTTTATAGTTTTGAATTTTAGGCAAGAAACTTTTCTGTTTTGTTTTGGAGCAGGTACAACAAGTGATTGGAAAAATTGTGTAACGCTAGAAAACCAACTAAAGGAATATCTCACAGCTAACGAGGTAGATTAGTGGCTTAGTAAGTACAGCATCTGTCGAGTAATTACTCAGTATATGGTGCAAAATGTAGTTTAAAGCATACTCGGAGCTCGACGTGGCCCACTAAGCCACTAATTATGGTTCATAGTACATCCCTCTGGTGCTAAACTGACCTCCCTGCAGTCCAGACACAAAACAGTTTTTTTTTTTTTTTTACAGGACAAGGTGATGCAGCATGGTGCAACATTCCCCAGTTTCAGTATTTCATGTTTTGTATCGAAAATAAGCCGTAAAGGATTTACAAATCATTGTATTTTGCACCTTTTCCATAAGGCGGTGAATGCAGATACTCTAGTGCTACTTTGTTTCAGAAATGTTGTTTTAATATATGCTTTCACATAATCAGGTTTATTTAAACTTGGCTGCAGAAATAATTGCCCCAGTACTGCTTTAATATACCATAGATGTCTTTTACAAGTATATCTAAACCTTTGACTGTACTGCGTTTTCCAAAAACTAAAGCACAAACTATATTTCCAATTGGATGCCACCATATTATTATTATCAGATTATCATAAACTCGAAGTCCCTTGTGTTGTAATCTTTTTGTTTCTAAATCTGAGGCTGTGATTTTACAGCAGTGTCCCGTGAACGTTAGTCAGTGCCCTGAAAGCCTTCTGCCCAGAGGGGGCTCAAGCTGAAATGGAGAACATGGTCTCTTCCTGAATTAACTGCACACCCCCAGGATGATTATTGAAGCATGTGCTGATCAGCTGCTGCATGCCGGCGTGCTGTTTTACTGCTCCTTCTTTCCCTCCACTTACCCAGAAAGCCTTGCTCTCTCCCACTAATAAACATTTTGTACCCCACCTGCCTCCCTCTGGTCCGTGTCTCGTAGCCATCGCTGAGAATGCTGGGATGTTTCTGTTGTGCTTGGATATTCTCCATTCTGATCAGGTCCAAATGCAGTGGGATTGTTTTGTTTCTTTTTATTTGTTTTTCTTTTTTTAAGGAGGTCTGGATTGTAATTTTGGGTCATGCATGCAGTCTCAGTGCAAGGAGATGATTTTAGTGTCAGTCTAGGCTTGTGTGGGTGTGTCAGTGTGTGTGACCTTTTTGTTTCCTTCTTTTTTTCAGTCTTTCTCTCTGTTGTCTTTGTTCTAAATCCATGCAAAAGAAACACTTCTAACAACAAATGTTGTTTTTGTCATAAGCAAATACTCTCCATCACCACTGGAAATGCAACACTAGCATCCGTTAGTGTCCTTAGAGCTGTAGGAGTCCTCTTGATGTATCTGTTCATTACTTTAATCTTCCCAAGACACTGAGGTTTCTATACGGCCTCAGATGTGTGCGCATTTTATCTTCCACTACTTGTTTTTTTTACCTCCCCCTCTCCCGTAGCGGTAATAATACAATCTAACTCGACTTCGACAGTCCAATTTCCTCTCCCTGTCTCACTGATAAAACATTTCCTCCATCACGCCCCACCACCTCCTCCTTTTCCCCCTATGCATATGCAATATACTGACACAAACTGTATGTTTATCGTAGACGATAAGAAAGTAATTGTGCTCTGAATACACAGAAGAAAGTATTCGTAACTTCTGAACCAAATGTCAGTTTGTTGCATCTCTCCCGCCGCTCCTCCTTGACACACCGTAGCTCAGGTATCTTCCTCCTCAGAGGCGTGCGAGTTACCTCTGCTGTGTGTGTCTCTCTCAGGGAGGCTACCCGGCTGCTGCTGCAGCCGCCGCCGCCGCTTATCGCTACGCCCAGCCTGCAGCTGTAACCGGGGCAACCGCTGCAGCTGCTGCCTACAGTGACAGGTGAGGTCAAGGCAGGACACAAATATACACGTAGACACGCTAAACTGTACGGCAGAGCTCCCGAGGTGACGCGTTAATATTCTGAAAGGCTCTGATCCTTCATTGTGTTTTAGGGGCTTTTTATTTATTTTTTATTTTTTGGATAAGAGAGAAAAGTTTTAATCGAGTTTGGGGATTTAAGGTTCACTTATGTTGGATAACAGTTTGATAAGATAACAGTAAGAGTTGTATGTAATCTTGTATATGAGGGTTTTTGTCATTGGGACGCAGTGGGGGGAGCATTTGGACTTTCAAGCCAATGTTTGCACAATGTGTGGCTCCTTATGTGCGCAGGAGAGCCAGAAAAGATGAAAGAGGGGAAAGAATAAAATGTTGACATGAAGAATTATCATTTGACTGTACTAGGACTTTCCCCTCATCCGCTTTTCATTCATTTAATTTTATTAGAGTTAATCGAATTCTGCAGGCTGGTTAATGTCAGCGCACAGGTATTGCATGGCAGGACGTTGATTTGCATTAGCTGACGTGCTGTTGGCCTTTGCGAAGCTTTTAACTGGATAGAAATAAAATATATTTTAAAGTGTGTGATGGATTAATGCTGCTGTTGCCTGGGTTGTAGCACAATGAGGAAATAACTTCGATATATGACTGAAAATGGGCTCTTCTACAGATGCTCATCAACCAGTTTTATTTTTGTGCGTAAAAAAAAGTAATCGTCCACTTCTGTTTGTGCTGAAGCAACTGCAGAAGATGCATTTATTCTTTCTGTGGATTTTAAACCTGCGTTTAAGTTTCAAAATTAGGCCGCCTGCTAGGGTTCAAAGGGAGACTAGAAAGGAAGCTCTCCAAAACAGGACAACAGCAAAGTTCATAGTTGCCAGACTTATTTTGACCTTGTTAAGTAATCTCTTGTGTTTTTGTTCCCAGTTATGGCCGGGTGTACACTACAGATCCATACCACGCTTTAGCTCCGGCGGCTGCTGCTTACGGCGTGGGAGCCATGGTGAGTAAACGGACACAAGCTCTACTACATAAGTAGAACAGTAGGGAGGGAATAATGGAATAACTGGGTGTGCGACACATTATGTTCTGTTTAGTTCAGTTTCGTTTATGTAGCACCAGCTCATAACAATCTATTGATGAGGCGACTGTTGGAACGAAGAACTCCCTGTTTAAAGGAAGTGGAGGGAGCGTGAAGTCAGTCAGCCAGCAGTCTGAGCCTACATCAGTATGACCCTGATGGTTCAGGGTCACCTGATCCACCATGGCTGAAAGTTTGAAGACTAATCTTAACAAGAGTCTACCAACTCCAAAATAGGAGCTGGTTCAGCAGCAGAAGGGCCTGAAAGCTGAAGCTTTGCCTCAAATTCTACTTTTAGAAACTCTAGAAACACCAAGTTAGCCTGCAGCATGAAGGTCATGTGGTGTACTGGGAAAATGTGATAGTATATGGCCTTATTTTTGTGCCACTATTCTGAGCGCACGTAAAAAAAA